AAAAAAAAAAAAAAAAAAAAAAAAAAGGATACAACAATCAGCTCATTTGACTGTTGAGTAAGCAGAAAAGAACTGTGCCAGCAAACCTGACAACCATATCATGTTACCGAACGAAGAATACTTCATGAGGCCAATCCTCATTCCTCATTGATCAAATTTGTATGAAGGAGGTGTCTCCACATAATAGGATAAATTAATCATAAGAATGAACCACCACATAACACCACCCACTCCACAAACTCGTGAATACGTCTATCCCAGCCTGCTCACCAACGAACACATGCTCTGGACACCGCGCTGAACATTTCCTCAATAAATTCTCTGTGGCAGTTGATCACTAATTCCAATCCAACTTAATTGCCAAGTAGTGTACAAAGTATATATACAGCTAAAGTACTCCACAAGAGTTGATATCCCGCTCTGCCAAACTTCCCATTGAACTACGTAAGAACCAGGAGGATACGGGAGGAAGGGAATGCAGCGGGAGGGCGAAAGGAGATGGGAGAGGGGCGGGGGAAGGGGAGGACAGAGGCTGAGACAGAGAGAGACACACACAAGGAGGGGGGGGGGGGGGGAGAGAGAGAGAGAGAGATTGAACTTCCATAACTGCTGAGAAAGAAAATGAGAATTCAATGGCTTCCACAAAAGCTGAACGGATTTCAGAAAGGAATAACAATTCCATTGAACACCTTTGCGATGCTTTCAGCAGCCTCAAGCTTCCGTGGCAGCAATGGCTTCTTTTTCTCGTTTCTGTTTCTCCTCACCCGTTCTATCACCAGTGCTGAGCCAGTTTTTCCTTCATAAGAATCAGACTGCTCGTCACGGTTCTTTCTCAGCACCATGTTGGCAGTATTGACACTTCCTAAAACGCCAATCCCACCCTCTCCATCTTCCTGACTTCCAGGCATCAAATACTCCATGGATATTTCAGTGTCGGCTTCCCATTCGACCTCCCCTTCATAGCTTGATACAATACTGCTAACTTGCCACGGCCCTTCACTCCCATCGCGGTGACCAGATCCAATGGTGTACTTCGCAGTCTCTTTCTCCCATTCGCTAGCATAGTCAGCCTCCATCTCCTCCTGCGTCCGTGTCATTGAAGATCCAGCTTCTCCTGCAATCCGCTTTCGTATCATTAGGTTCAGACGATCACTGTCCTTACAGTTTGCAATCCTCGTACTTGGTCCAGTGCATTCCTCTTCCACCTTCACAGTCTCATCAGGTTGTCTGGCTCCTCTGCCCATTGAACTCACACTGCCATCAGCAAGCTGGTGATCCTTCTCACACAGATCATTGCCGCCACTCGCAGAAGGAGACTCAATCATGCCCAGTTCTTCATCCCCCTTCCTCGACCCCTGTTTACCATCTTTCCTTGCAGCCAAGGGCCGCCTTCCTCGCCGTAGCTTCATGCCCTCTGAAATTGCCATTTCCACTCCATCACCTCCCAGCTCAGCACCAACGCCCCTTGGCACAGGAGATTCAGATTCTTCAAAACTCCCTCGTGCTTTCCGTACTTGCTTTTTGGCCGATGCATCTATGCCACGCCTGCCGCCAAATTCATTCCCACTCCCGGAATGACCTGCCACATTGTTGATGGTAACGGTTACTTCTGACCCACAAACCTTCTTAAAGGCCGCTTCAATATGATGCTTGTTTTTCTCAGCCCTCTTCGCAAACTCGGACACTGTGAATAGCACAAATGCTGCGTTGCAGGGCATTACCAACGGACAGAAAATGTCAGAAGAATGGAAACATAACATCATTTAAAATTACTCACCATTTATAGCCCAGCTCAAGAACCACAAAATCTGAGCATGCAGATCATCATCATCATCATCATCGTCGTCATCATCATCATCAATATTGCGGTATGATCTAATCATCCAATCCGACCTTTAATAGCATCATTTCACTACGATCCATTGAGATCCTAACTACTTTTCTCAAACTAATATACAAGCTACGATCCCATTACGACCCTAGCTACTTTCTCTAACTAATATCCAAACTAAAGTCTCATTACATTTTTTATCTTTCTTATCCTTAAAATCTGAAATTTCTTGTCTAATTAACATATAATTAACATATAAGATATTTTTATATGCCT